GATCGACAAGGCCAACATGATGGATCTCTGATCTGTACTTCCAGTTCTACGGACTACTCCTCATGTGGTCCTGCACAGAGAAGGAGAAATCCCTCCCGCAAATATTATTCTAGAGGGAAATCGACTACGATTTTCAGCTAGAATAAAAACCTTCGATGATCGGCACCCGCTGAGATCTCGTGCTGCGATCTGCCCAAACGTTGGGACTCAAAAGTACAAGAAGAATCCACGAGGATTTGATTATGTAGATAGACAAAGAACTCGTGCACAACGAGCTTATCGACAGCTTCTAGACGCAGAAGCCTCGACGCCTTTGCCGCCGCTATTTTACCCTGCCAGGTCTATGACTAAGTCAGAAGAGAAAGAAGCGAGCAAACTTTGGATAGACAACGTGGCCGCATCGGAAATCTGCGCCTACCCGGACGCCTCATCAGCAGGAAACGGAAGGCGAGCGTGGAGTTTTATTCTAAGGAGATATGGCAAGACTCTTCTAAAGAGAGTGGTATCCGATATGGAGGAGAGGTCCTGGACGCGGAAATCATAGGGACGCTAAAGGCTCTTGAGGCGGCGCTGAGAATTAAACAAGCGCAACAGCAGCTGGGGGAGACGATACAGCGAGTGAATTTGTTGCTGGATAGTCAGCATGCTGTAAAAGTATTTGAGACGGGCATCTCTTTAACCAGCCTCGAAGAGGTAGGACAGTCTCGCATGCTTTCAGCATCAGCTATCGTGACAGTCAAGTGGATCCCCGGTCACTCAGGAATACAGGGGAACGAAGAAGTAGACGCAATTGCGCGCTCCGGTTTACGAATGTTGACTAGTCCGGACAGTCAACTAGGATCTATCTCGTTTGCATACCTTCGCCGTCTCATGAACAACCGGCTACAGGCTTTGCTCAGCAATTGGTGGGATAAAGCGTGTCCTGTTCGGTACCGAAAGCTAGATCTGCTCATGAAATGGCGCAAGCCGCCAGAGCTGGCTCTATCAAGAGATCTACTCCGCGAACTAATTGCAGCCCGTACGGGACATGGCAATTTCGCGGCCTATCATCGCCGATTCAACAATGCAGACGCACCTAGTGAGTGCGCGTGTGGGAAAGAGACTAGTCCAACCCACTTTATACACTGTCGACTATATTCTCACGAAACACGTCGAATACGAGGTCTAAAGTCCCACGAGGACTTCCTACACCAACTTCTCGGATACAAGTGCCTCGAAGACTTCAGAAACTTGCACAGAAAACCTGATGTTATGGGTGATCAGCCGGAGGCTGGATCTCTGCTCTCAGCGAGGTCCATATAAATTCGAGTCACGTATCATGACTCGATTGGAATGAGAACGAGGTGAGAAGTTTTGCCCCAACCACAGGTGCTGATAATTAGTTGGAGCTCAAAGTCTTGGAGCCTAAAGTTACGTAATGATTTCTATTTTGTATATGGCTGCATGTAATTTAACTAGCTAGTATTTGAGTTGCGGTTCACGTTGTAGGAACAAGTTGGGCATGTCATAGATATGATCTCAGCTGTAAACCCCGGTCTATGACCCCCAGGAGATAACGGGCATATCCTAGAACTTAAAAATAAAAAACAAACATCACCGGCTTCCCAACTTAACCTACAAGTGCGGGGACGCAAACCGCCCGAACTGTCTCTCTCTAGGCACCTCCTCCGGGCACTAATCGCAGCACGAACAGGCCACGGCAATTTTGCGGCATACCATCGCCGTTTTAACAATCCATACGCTACTATGGAGTGCTCTTGCGGGAAGGAAACTACTCCGACCCACTTCATCCACTGTGGCCACTACTCACAACACACGCGTAGGCTCAGAAAGTCTATTTCCCACGTTGACTTAATCAAAAAACTTCCTAGGCCCAAATACCACGAAAGCTTCAAAAAATTTGCGCAGGAAGCCGGCTGTTTTGATAGACGACCTGCTCACTCATCCACTGCTCTCTGCGGATATCAGATGAACTAGTCATTGCCACAATGCATGACACGAAAGGGAACGGGGCGAGAAGTGTCGTTTCTCTGAGGAAAGATTGTAGCTATTTGGATTTAGGGGGAAAAGGAGTAATTCTGATCTAGGAGTAGGTGGTGTCTGTATCGTAATTTACTTCCTATTATTTCTGTAGCGAGTTCAGTGGTTGGAATGAGTTGGGCCTATAAGCAGTGATCCCCACCGGCTCCACTAGTCTTGTACCTATAGTGGACCTAGAGCTTTAGCTTAGGTCTTTAACATAAAAATAAATAAAAAATTAAACCCCGGCTTCCAATCCAGATCAGACCTCATGGGACGAATCTACCTGGAGCACCCTATCGAAACTGGCGTGCCCTTTTCGACCGGGACTTCGCCCCTCGTGCGGGCTTCCGCCTCTTCGACAAGTCTGGTATGGCTACCATCCACAAGCCTCGTCGACCAATCGAGCAGTGTAAACGCTGTTTGAGCTTCCACGCCACTCGTGGTTGCTCCCGCGCTCCAACCTGAGGGAACAGCAACCTCGATGTCTCTTCTGGAGCGTCTACTAACCAATAGCACGATACCGGCTGCATCAAAGGTGCCTGCTAACCAATCTCTTGCTCTCAGCGGAAAATGGGCAAATTTGTCATTTGGAAGATGTGACGGACGATAGAATGTGCGAGGAGCGTATTGCTTGGGACTAACATGGAGGAATCTTCTGGTTTCGGAGTTGTTTGATTTTCGTGATTTTTCGTTTTTGTTTTTTTTTTTAAATTTACATCCTATTTGAGTCAATGACTGTTAAAGATGTGTAGCTACACTACAATATTTGTCGCCCAAAATCCAAAAACGCCTTAACTAATTTCCACACTGTTTCTCCCCTTTATACCACCCCCTAGTTGATATTCTTGTCTCACTCAAATAGTCCAATGTTATATTAATTTCAATCTTGTTATGAATCAATAATTCAAGCCTTATATCCTGACCCTGTAACTTTTCTTTCATTCTTTTCCGGTTCTGGCTGTACCTCTTGCAATCTAGTAGCAGATGTCTTGGATTCTGCTCCTCTCCACAGCTGCAGTCCCCCATACTTGATTGTCCTATCCTTTTCATGTATGACTTAATCGTTTTTGTTTAATCAGCTGCGCTTTTGGCAGTGATTCACGAGTTTGGAACGAGTTAGGCTGTAGGAAAAGTTACAGGGAACCTTGCCGGCTCCACCGGTCCTTCACCCAATGTGGATAAAGAGCTGTAGCTTAGAACCTATCTTAATAAAAAAATAAAAAAAACAGCACCGGTGCTATGTGTACATGTTGGATGACTCTTTTGACGTCAGAGACACTCATACTCTGTATTTCATTCGCAAATACCACTGTGAGGTATGCATGCTTACAAAAACAGTCAACTTTCCTCCGTAAGTACCCACCAAAGGGAATTTCGAAACCTTTGGTTATCCAAGCATGCCTTTATCATCCATGCATGTCAGCGCCGCGAGAAAAGTGGTTTCGTTTTGCCGGATTTGAACCAGCGATCTACTGTATCGAGTGGGATATGTGTCCAAGCTATTCAGACTCTACTCGGCAGACAGGCCAAGACGATGTACCACCGCACCTTCCAGCCATAGCAGTGTTTATAGTCTCGCCTGCACTCTCGCAACTGAGGCCTTGACACGGACAAAGCTCAATTTGTAAAAACCCCTTGCCAAAATTCCAAAATTCACGCCCGTCGAGATTGTATCCTTCCTTTGCATCATCTTGTAAACTTGTCCTAATCCTTCTCATGTCCGTCCCAAAGAATTGTATCCCAGATTTGTGCGCCACGCTTTGCTTCCCCCTCCTTCGGGTGTAAATATTAGCGTGGGCTTGCATTTGGTGACCAGCTGAGGCCAGAGAAAGTCGATAAGAGGTATGTGTTGTAAAAATCTGAGTTCATAACTGCACACACCATCAGGGGATAACTGTGCACCAGCAAAGTTAACTCCTTAGAGTCTGATCACTATTGCCTCCTGGTCGCGACACACTAACATCGACATGTTCACTACAATGAGGACACCATTGTAGTTTCTCTAGTTATCATATACAATAACATGTAGAGGAATAAGGATAGGAACTCCTGTATATAGATAGGGCCTTTTTACTCTCGGTATCTACATCCATCATCCACAAATACAATTAACCATCATTCAATCATCTTACTCTGTCCAAGTGATCTATTGAATTCTCCCATACCTATCAGTATTCTATTCACAAGGTGACATCTCCCTATCCATCGCTCTCAGCCTTTCAATAGTATGGTCATTGGAGTGAGGATGTACTAGATCGTACTTGTAAACTTGATGAGGCTTAGGTATGAGTCGGACTCTTTGGGAGTGAAAAATCGACGTGGTGGAGTATATTGAATCAATACCTCGTGGGCCAACTTGTTCGGTATTGTGTAATTTGACTGAACTTGGCACTGGGAGGATATTTCACTCCCAGGTTCGTAGAGGACACCGCGTACAGGTGTCCATTCATGTCCTTCTTTTCGACGAGGTTGGGAGAGCTTTGCAATTCTAGAGTCGTCGAAAAAGCGGAATTACAGTCGAGGCGTGGAATGGCAAGGGAAGAGCGCTTTCCAGTTGTGGTATGGCGCCCAAGATTTGCAGTTCCCATGAGGGCGAACAAGAAAAGGAACCGATTTGATCACTCGTGTGATTGGTCAGCGACCATCTTTGCCGTGATGGAAACAGGACCTGTGAAAATGTGAATTGTTATCTGGTCGCTGGCATTATGTATGGCGATCATATTTGATGTTGGCTCCGGATTGATCCCAATTTCACCTCGTGCCAAGCAAGCCCTGCTAGCGCGTCGGTGCGAGAATTAATGTCGAGCCGGCCCTAGTGCACGCAGCGGATCGGCTTGCAGCATTCTTTCCGTGCCCAAGCCAAGGGCAAGAGCTGTTGATGCGAGAATGTATGCTCCAATGATATAACATTTTGGCGATACGCAAACAAGTTTCTTGACTGGAGGCGGTAATATCATCGACTTTACACCGACTTCAAAATGGCAACAAATACAACTGCCAGCAACATCGAAGAGACGTGTCTCGTGATGTTTGACAATGTCTTGCAGCTGGGTGAGCTTTTTTGGGTCGAGGCCGAAGTTGAGTATGCAACAGACGAGAACTTTCATGTACTTGAACTTTGCCGCATCTAGACGGCTTGTGTTGGCCCATTGGCACAGGCTAAACAGCTTGTATAGTTTGAATTTCGCCTCACTCCAGCTATTGCGAAAAAGCCAATTCTACCTGCATCTCATCCAGGACGTGTCCACGCCGTTGGTCCCTTTGTCAACCCAGATCCAAAGTTCGTCATTGCCCATGTAGGTGCATCGCAGCATGTACTCGAGCTGAATAAGTATTGCGTCTACCGGCCGCACCTCGTCCTGCACACCAAATTATTTCGTCTACAAACCGAGGCCCTCGATGAGCACGATATTGAGGCATTTTGGGTCGTGTTCGGAATGATGAATACTGATCAAATGATGATCTATAACTGTGGTATCAATGGTGGCTCGTCACAGGGCCACAAACACATGCAGATCATACCTGAGCCAGATCCGAACCGCTTCAAACTATTTCCCGATAAATTTAAACTCCCTACAGGTAACTTGGCAACTCCTATCTCCGAAATTCTTTTCTCACTGATTAGATGTACCGACTTGTGCGAGCGGTATCCCGTATAGGCACTGGATGATAGGAATCCCCGACGATGCGGACTCAAAGGCTGTCTTTGTTAGACATGAAGAAATTATGAAGCCATTAGTCGCATTGCTCTCAGCCATGAAAGCCAAACTAGAGTACAACGTAGTTGCTACAAAAAGATGGATTATTGTAATACCTAGAATGTATCGAGGTCACGAAGGTGCGGGTGTCAATGGCGCTGGTATGATGGGTATGGTTTGGGTATCAAGTCAAAAAGAGCGGCAGTTATGGTCAGAACAGGGCCTAGTGGAATACCTTAAGATTCTAGGTGTTCCCATCTAAGTTCGACATTTTGGAGATTCGAGAGATAAGTTTACTTGGAACAAGAGGCCCTGTACGACACGCTCACCACCTCACCAGTAGCGCAGGCAGTACTGGAGAATTCTTCAGATATAAAATCAAATCACCTTATTGGGGACGATGGCTCATATATCATGGCCGCCATTTTTTAAAACTTAAAGTGACTGCCATACACGTACATCCCAAAAACTTACTCCGAAGCGCTGAATCCACTCTTCTCGCTCTCTGCCCCTGTAAAGGAGAGGCAAGTCGAAAAATATGACTGGTTATTTATGATACCGATATACCGGCGAGTATCTTCATAAATTACAGAAATATTTTTATCAAACTTTCAATTATCTTCTCTCTTCAGGTTACTTATGAATTTATCTTCAATATGATGAACGTGAAGGTTGTAGCCTGCCGGGCGTGTCAATTTGTCATATTCTGCCAATGCTGAAGTAATAAAATGCCCCAACCTTAGATATCTAGGACGACCCGAAGCTTCACATACAACAAACTGCGGCACGTGTAGAATAGTTAGTTTGTTAAACTTTTATAATGATACCGCCAGCGCGGAAGAATTCTTCTTCTTCAAGTACTGCCGGTGTAATTGCTCAGTATGCTCTGCACATCTAGGATAACCAAGAAGAATTACATACGAATCGAAGTCGATAGCAACCTCAAGCACGTCTCCATTCACGACTTCTCGACAATGCCTCTCTTACCGTTCTCATCTGAGTCCTCAATCTATTTCTAACCACGCATCATCTCATCTCAACCACCAATAAAGATATTACTTCAATTGCAAACAGGAACTTGCCCTATTAATTTCCAGCCATCTCTTACTACAAATTTTCGACACTATTTATATCCGCAAGAAGGAAATCAAGTCGAAAATTACAAAGCCTGGGTCTTGGCTTATGGGGGACCGTTTCTCTTGTATTACAAACAATTTGAGGGATGACAGGCGGCTGAGATATGGGGCAAGAGGGAGAATAGGTATCTGAAAACTATACTGGGACCGATATCTTCAAAGTGTTTTCAACTTTGTATTGTTTGTGGGCGCCAAGACCAAATTTTCGGCTAATTGGCCAGGAGGGCTTCTTTTGTTGATGAGTCAACGGCACTCTCCAGGGCTCTGGATGGCACAAAAGAAGTTGGGCTAAGCTACCACACAGAAATAACGCTCTGTCAAGGCTTTTCTGAAATTTCAGCACGACCATTGGGAAGGAGTTTGAAGGAGGCTAGAAAGGCAGAGAGTGGATTTCCCGAGGTACCCACAAGTCTGCAGCGCCCAGCTGGCCGGCCTCTTCGAACGCATCAGAAGGGTCACTACGTCTTTGGATCTAGTCCTTATGTCGGTAATAGGGGAGCTCCGCACTCAGTGGTTTTTGCGATCTTTCCCGGCTGCCATGCACCCGCAAATGGCCATCGTTTCGTTCGCTGGAGAGCGGAGATCATGAAGGGCGACGGGCTCCTCTAAGAGTATAATTGAATGAGTACTTGTGAGGGGTGGTACTAATTGAGGAAAGCTATGTGGGAGGCATAGGAAGGGATATACTACTGGCATAGGTATCCTTGGCCTGTAGGCAGAGTGGACCTGCATGTCCTACATAATCATATACTCAGACAGGACAATAAAATGAGTTAAAAATATCACAGAGAAATTCTAATAGGGAGTTATCTCTGGTTAAAAATAGGGACTGTCCACATGTACGTGGGTTTTTTACTTGGGTCGTTGCTTGTATTCTGTATTTAAAGCCGCAGATTATCAATTTCTGGCACGCGTCTGCATTTAGATTCTAAGAGATTATGTCAATCATAATCAGAGTATGTAGTCCTAATACTCCGTGAGAAATAGGAACTAAGTCGTTTTTACAGGATTTTTTAGTGTCAGGATACTTAAACAAGGTGCAAATAACATAAACTATAGGAGGATTACTCTAAACACCTGTCAGTGGTTTCCCCTACGAACCTCCAGCTCTCACTCTAGAGTCTGCAGAGCCAAGATTGAGTAACAAAGTCCCCACTTCGACGAGGATTCCCAATCGCTTCCGCAGTCTGCATCGTCTTAATCACTCAACACATCCCCCTATGCCCATTATCATGAAGCTAACCACGATCAGATCAGATGGTAGGGTCGAAGCCCTGCTCCTCACCAACCCTTGATCATGGAGGAAAAGCCATCCGATGAGTTTCCGGAGCGTACCCAGCACCCGATATGGAGATGGTGGATTGGATCAAGTCGACCTCGACTGTTACAAAGAAGGGAGATATAGATGAATATGCGCAACTCATGTGGTCCCGGTGTCTAGGCCTCGCCTGGCTGGGGCTGCGGGTTTTTTGAGACTTTTTCCCGCGCATGCAGTTTCCATTGCTACCGGCTTTTCTCTTTTGCTTGGAAGGTTCCATGGAAGAGGTGGCTGAACTCTACAGTTAATTACCGAACCAAATATTTATCTATCATTGGCATTAAATTATAAATCTTATTTCATAAAAAAAGATGATAGGAGCACTGCATAATTTGTAGCGTGGATTAGAGCGGAGCTCAGTCTGCTAGATGTTTACGACTCCAGTAGCACTAATATCAGACAAGCACAATTTTTTGAAATTTGAAATTTCGAATATTCACCTTTCTTCTTCTCTCCCACGGGATTGGAGGATTGCCAAATTCTGCTCGGATTGAGCTAAATACATCGGAGAAAGCTGCGCCAAAATTGGCTCCATCAGCAGATTCGCTGCCTCAAGCTGCCACAAAGGGTAGTCTCATCAACAAAAACTGCGTTAAAACCGTTAGCTACAGCGTCGAAAAAGACGACTAGAAGGAGAAACTCGACGGGAGATTATTACTAAGTCCCGGTAGCACTCACAAGTGAGTCCAAATGTCCCACGAGAGCATTAGAGGCTAAGTGAAGTTATAGCTCAACTGTCTCTTCCATGAGATCAGGTCAATTCATTAAGTTAAGAGCGACTTTGACACTCTGGCAAAAAATGAAGAGATAAGACAAGAGGTCGGGGATTATCAAAGGCGATGAGGTTAGCATAGAAAACATGTGTGTACAGCCGCCTTACACACAACTCCTCCCCTCCTTTTAGTAAATTTAATCATCTTAAAACCTCATATTAGCCTCGACCGTACTTATTGCTATTATACACTGGTTCCTAAACACGTCTTCAAAATCGGCCAATTTCAACGCCAAGCTCGAAGCAACTTCGGGCCTCGTCTCTTTTCTGATGGAAATTTCGCACAATAAAATGGGCGCAATATTTGTGGAACGAAAGTAGAAGTTGACTAAAAGGGTGTCATGTTCGGATTACAGCTAAAAGTGTGGGAAGTGTGCGCGATAAGTACAAGTGTAAGCGACACAGAGCCTAAGCCACAGCATAAACGGGTGTTGCGCCATCTAGGCATAGAAAACCCCCAATAACCTCCTTGAGCCCACGCCATACAACCGCTAATATCTCCAATAGGTAGCCTGAGGCGCCACAATATTACCTATTCTAACCTCTTAAATACATATAAGATCTTGTCGGGAGCCTAGACGAAATGGAGGGCCCATACGTCCACAACACTCTAAGTCTCCATTTCCAACATATACCAATCGCAAACGTGCCCATAAAGATCGATAATGTGTGTCGCCCTCGAATGGTAGATACAGAATGGCTTTCTGACGAGATCAGGCAGGGCCTAATGGGAAGTAGTGTTTTGGTGCACCACACGGCAACATACATGTACTATTCCTTCGGTATTCCGCACCTGGTGCGGGTTTCCGTCTCTCCAGCGAGTCCAGAGTGACTTCAAACCTAGTTAACTATAAAATTCCTTTTCCCATCCGTACTTCGGCACATAATTTTTCTCTTCGTTTCATGTTGCCATGACAACAGTACAGTCCTTGACACATGGTATGTGTATGATGACTTGGTCTGTAGATACAGAGGTCTACACACTTAGTATTCCGTCATACCCAACACCTTCAGATCATCTCTGGTCACTTTTAGTAGCCTCAGTTACGACTAGTCTTCACTCAATCCATTAGTAGCTTGAGATAATACAAATAGCCTCAACTTGAGCCTTTGGCTCCTCTAAGTGATCTCAAGCAGACTTCTAGTCTTATTTCATAGTCCATCCAACCTCTTGTCTATTCTAATTCCACTTCAGTCACACACCATCACTCTATTCTGACAAGAATCTCCCGTGAGCTCTGGGGACGCTCTTTGTCAGATCCAACACATTCTTGGGGAATCTCACTGTACTTTAAGAGAACATTCAGGGCTTATTGCTGCTGTGCGGTTGACTAGACCATCATGTATTCTGCTATAGCGAGACTCTCTTAAACCATGTTGTTGGCAAACCTGACCGTGTAAACTCCGAAAATAGGAGAATTAATTGGCTTCAAGACATAAATCATAATTAGAAGAATTTCCTTCATGGCCCAGATCCTGCGTTTCTCGCACGTCTCATTTACCGTCACAGCTTCCAAGTAACACCTCCCAATCTAAGCTGATATTAAGGGACTAGTTTGCAGGTTAACATTAAAGTCAGTCGATTTCCTGTTCTATGTTGTTTGTTGGTGTAAACAAGCTACTTTCTTGTACACGTCCATTTATTAGTCATCACTTGCGACGCGCATATAAAAACTATTTAGATTTTGAAACAACTTCCACTAACACAACGACAGACACGGAGTAAGGAAGGCTCTAGAGGCGGCATTGCGAATAAGTGGGCTGGAATCTCGGACCCCAGGAAAAGTGGCGCAACCTATCTACGTGCTGACCGACAGTCAGCATGCAAGAACCGCTATGCTGTCCGGAGACACATCGACAAGCATTAAAGAAGCCCGAATATTTCGGACAATGACACAGGCTGCTCCCGAAAGAATCATCGTAAAAGGGGTTCCAGGACACAAGGGCATTCAAGGGAACGAAGAAGCAGATGCTGCAGCTCGGAGCAAACTCCGCAGTCTCCCCCTCCGAGATGAGGAGCCGCAAAATATCAGCAG